TGGGGGAAAAAGATCTAGAGACCTCCCCGCCCCTCCCGGTGAGCTTAGCTGTTATGGCGGGTAGGGAGGCTGGATGCAGGCCAGTGGACCTCAGAAATCCATTCACCCATTTTAATAAGAGAAAATAGTTCTGTTTTACTTATTCAGACAATTTAAAAGCCCTTAAAGATCAACTTTCCTCATTCCTTGGGGAGGTATTGAGACATAGAGTGTGAAAAGCACAGTCTGGGTGGGTGTTGGCTCCTGGCCCCCCTGAGCATCCTGTCTGCAGAGAATAACCTTTGACCTGCAGGGCCCATCGGTGTAGAAGGTGTCGCCTGGCCCAGCTGAGATCCAGAGCCAAAAACATATTCCCTTTCCTTGCCCTGGTCTTGCACGACAACCCTCCTTACCAGCCGGGGATGTCTGTCGAGGATGGAAGCAACCTCCGAAGCCCATCCTTTGTTTATCAGCCGACTTTGGCCTCTTGGAAGTAACCAACTGAGCTGGCCCACCACCCCCCACACTCTTTCTACCATATTGCAGCCGGCTGCCAAGAGGGATCAAAGAAGAGCATTTTCGTGGAAGTAAATATTATCTTTTTTTCCAGTATAGTTGCACCTTGGAATCTAATCTTTGAAAATAATAATTATGGGGACTAAGTCTTAGTATGATGTTGAACCCTTATAGATAACCTTTAATTCTTGGAATCAGAATTCAAGAGCCCTCATCAAAAGTAATTTTTCCATTGTTGTGCACATGTTGGATTTTAAAAAATGGGTACATCTTATTTATCTGTACTTAAATTTATAAGCCAGACTGATACATTGACAATAATGTCATGGAAAAGCAAAATATCTTTCTATAAGTATTAAATTAATCATCAAATTGGGGGTTGTACGAAAACACAGCAGGTGAGATGGAGGAAATCAATGAAGCTCTGAATAGCTTAAATCTAACTTTACCTGAATAATTACTTAAAAAATTGTTTTAATAAATAGAGCTTCTCAAGTCTATACAATATGAGTAATAATTCATCATCATACATTTTTGTATGTTTTACTTCTCTTTCTTGAAGGTAGATCTTAGGTCCTAGAGATGTCAAAACTAGCATCATGTTTAGTTTTCTGTTCTTTCTTTTCTTTTTTTTTTTTTTAAGATTTTATTTGAGAGAGAGAGAGAGAGAGCATGTGCACAAGCAGGGGGAGCAGCAGAGGGAGAAGCAGGCTCCCTGCTGAGCCGGGAGCCCGATGTGGGGCTCGATCCCAGGACCCCGAGATCATGACCTGAGCTGAAGGCAGATGCTTAACCGACTGAGCCACCCAGGAGCCCCATCATGTTTAGTTTTCTAAAGCCAAGGAAGTCTTTATCTTGTTTTCAGAGCCAACCGGGTAATCTGTTACTAGGCCATTGAAATCTTTTGATGAGTCTCCTATCTTCCTTGCTAGTCCACCCCCGCCCCCAATATTTACACAGTAAACAATGAAAACCAGGAAGCCCCAGCTCTGAGATAAGCAGAGGCTCCGGAGGAAGGAAGCAGCAGCGGCTCCTGCCATGCCCTGGGGGCCACACAGCCACCTTCACGGGCTCAGGCCACAGACGAACCGGGGTGACCGTGGCCAGGGGCGTTGGGGTGCTGAGCAACTGGCATGCTGTGCCAGGTGGCTCCAGGTCCCAGGAAGGTCCCGGGCAGCTGCGGGCCGGGTGCACCAGCTGTGGCTGCCTGCTTACGCCCCCCTTGGCGGGTCTCCCTGGCCATCAGCAGAGAGAAGCGGGCATTCTGTGGGCGCTTGGCCCTCAGAGCCACACCGCTGCTGTTCTGACCCGGGGTGTCTTCTTGCCGCTGTTTGCATTTTATTCTGTGGTTCTGGACCTAGTCCGGTGTGGCGAGGGTCCAGGTGGTTGTGATCTGTCGCTGTGTGTCCACAGTAGTGTCTGAGAAGACCTCCTGTCTCCTGGCCTGGCCTCAGCCTCCTGCACTGTGTCTTCTCTTGGGAAGAGGCCTGGAGGAGGCCAGGCAGCAGCCTCTGGGGGATACGGCGGATGGGTCTGCTGCAGCCCCAGGAATCTCTGGCAGGGTATCGAGGTCCTAGAGGTGGACGCTGCTGGTCAAGGCCTTTTGGGTTTGGTTTTTTTTTAAGATTTTTATTTATTTATTTGACAGAGAGACACAGCGAGAGAGGGAACACAAGCAGGGGAAGTGGGAGAGGGAGAAGCAGGCTTCCCACCGAGCAGGGTGCCCGATGTGGGGCTCGATCCCAGGACCCCGGGATCATGACCTGAGCCAAAGGCAGACGCTTAACAACTGAGCCACGCAGGCACCCCCCTCTGGGTTTTTATCTTTTTTATTTATTTATTTTTTTTGAGTAGGCTCCATGGCCAGCATGGACCCCAGCGTGGGGCTTGAACTCACGACCCTGAGATCAAGACCTGAGCTGAGGGGCGCCTGGGTGGCTCAGTCGTTAAGCGTCTGCCTTCAGCTCAGGTCATGATCCCAGGGTCCTGGGATCGAGCCCCGCATCGGGCTCCCTACTCGGCAAGAAGCCTGCTTCTCCCTCTCCCATTCCCCCTGCTTTTGCTCTCTCTCTCTCTCACTGTGTCTCTGTCAAATAAATAAATAAAATCTTAAAAAAAAAAAAAAAAAAAAGACCTGAGCTGAGATCAAGAGTCAGACGCTGCACAGACTGAGCCACCCAGGTGCCCCAGCCTTCTGGATTGTTAAATGACAGGCCAGAACTTAATTATTCTTGTCTTCCTGGCTGTAACTCTGGGCATGAATCTCTTATCTGCCCTGAGAAGTACCTTTGGTTTTGGCTTCCCGTCCCTGCACAGCGGTCACACCCTGGGTGCAGAGAAAACATTTGATAAAATCAAGTTAGATAACTTGCTTTATTTATGGCACTTCGTTTTTGCTGGTGATCTGTTGGTCCTCACCACTCATGACTCATCTCGTTTGTTGTGTGGCTGTGCGAGATTGTAGCCTGTTGGATTCTCAGAACTTTAAGAGGTGGTTTCTCGATTTTGACGTACAATGTGCTCTTTCATAAGATGGGTTTCTGGTGATGTTGTGTTTGTAAATGGAGGCTCTTTTGAGAAATAAAATATACTGAATTAGTCAGAAACATTTTTTATAACTCCCCGAGTAGCCGGATTTGAAGTGCAGCGTTCAGCGTGTACTCTGAGCCTCGTTAAGGACCCACGAGATCAGCTTCTGTCAGGCGGCTTGTCCTGACGTCTGCTGTGGGCAGAGCGCAGGGGCTGTGAGCCCCTTTTGGACCCAGTGTTAGTTTGTTGCCTGAAGTTACCTTTACGTTGGGAATCCTGAAGTAAAGTTCTGGAAAGTTTGGATTAATTCCCCAGGATGGTTTTGAGTTGTGGGTTTGGTGAGAAGTGTGTTTCTCATGTTTAGCTGCTGGTGTGGTCACCGGGCGGGACGCCGTCTCCGCACGGGGAAGCAGCATCCGAGGGCTTGTGTCCGGCTGGGTCTCAGCTCCACACCTGTGTCCACATGAACCCCGGGGCCTTCAGGACCTCGTCCCGGGGGGGCTCTCCGTTCACACAGCTCTTCTCACCTCCTGCCAGCCAGCGTTTTCTGAGTGCCCGTGGCATGGGGGGCTCTGTGACAGGCACCGAGTGAACCAGGCAGCGAGGTGTCTGCTCGTGCGGACCTGTGTGTCTCAAGCTGTCCCGCGCACAAAGGTGATCCGAGAACAGACTGAGCTGGGGCCTTGGTGTGGGGGATGGCAGGCCATTGGCCTTCATGCTGGGGCCTCCCAGCTTGGATGCCTGTCCCCACTCTCATGACCTTCTTCACTGTTCTGTTTGGCTTTTGGCCTCTCTGTCCCTCTGAAATGGCTTGTCCGAGTCGTTAGTGACCTTTGTCAAGGTCAGTGGCCACTGTCCTGTCCTGCTTAGGCCCTCAGCAGCATCTGACAGAGCTGCCTGAGCTGCCCGATTCCCCAGCCCCTGCCTGCCCTCGGCCCAAGGGCCACGCTCCCCGCCTGCCCTGGGTGCCGATGCCTCCCTAGCCTGTGGGTCTTGTGCCGCCCTCCAGAAGTGGTACGGCGCATCTCCCGTCATCCCCATCCCTCCCACAGGGGCGGGGGTCATTCTCCTTCCTTTTTCCCCGCCTTGCTCACTGTCCACCTCCTCACGGTCTGTTCCTGTCTCCCTTCATTGGCTCTCCTGGGTCCAGACTCGCTCCCGTGCAGTCCACCCTCATGGGGTCACTGCAGTCCCCCTTCCAGGGGCACATCCCAGCAGCTGACCCCGGCTTGACCCCTTCCAGTGACTTCCCCTCACCATGGGGAAAGTAAGTTCCCTTAGGAAAAAGTTCACAGGCCTTCTCCCTTGCTGCTGTCCCTCCATTTTCCCTGACCCGGATCTGCACAAGTAGAGTCTCCTGCCCCAGGTCCCGTGTGTCTGCTCTGCCCCTGTGGGGACAGTCATCCCCCAGGTGTTTATAAGGCTGCTGCCCGCCTGCCGTCCTGCCCTCAGCTCACATGTTGTCTCCCTGGCGAGGCTGTCTCCCTCTGCGCGCCCCCCCCCCCCGCCCATGCTGATCTTGTCCACGTCACCCGGCTTGATGAGCCCTTGAAGTGGCCCTGTTCGCTGCTTGGCATGTGTGTGGTCGCTCCCTCTGCCCTGCATCGTGAGCTCATGGTCACTGCTGTGGGTCCAGGTCTCTAGTAGGTCTGGTCACAGTCCCTGTGCCCAGGCAGAGTCCTTGGCCTGCGTTTGGGTCAGGTTGGTGTGGCAGCATGGAGGAGGGAACCTGGCTGCTGTGGCTTTCAGCTCCTGGGCCCCTCGTACCAAGAAGTGCGCAGCCTGGTCTGTGCTTTCTGGGCCCTTGTGTCCCTCTCGTCTGCTCTTTCATCCTCGTGCTTAGCGGTGACTTCTGACTGCAGCCTGATGTCCCAGCAGGAAGGAGGGGAAGCAGGAAGGGGCGGTGTCTCAATCAGGAAGGCATTTCAGGAAACCCCCAGTCTCCGTCTCGTTGTCCGCAAGAGTGCTGCACGCCCCTCTGCTCACTAGGGTCCCGGGCGGCGTCTGCGCGTACCAAACTCAGGCTCTGTGAGGAGGGGTAAGAGGGACAGTGGGCAGTGCCCCACAGCCCTGTCTGCAGGAGTCCTAGTACCTGACCGTCAGAGGCTTCGGTGCTGCGGGGTTCTGTACTCAGCCCCATTTCTTACCTCTCTAGTTCTGGACCAGTTGGGAGAGTCCCCCACACCAGAGACAGGTGAGCGGGGAGTCGATGTTGGAGAATGGGGCTGTCTGTGGCCGAGTGGCCTTGTTAGTCTTTTACATCAAACTGGACGGACTGACCTACCTGGTGATGAGAATGGCTGGGGACGGGTGCGGGATTCTCCGGGCAGGGACGGGCCCCTTCTGTGCAGTGAGTGGCCTGAGTGCATGGCTGCTGTGGGTGGGCCCAGCCTAGCTGTGTGGCCTGCGCCGGTAACTATGCCCCCCTCCGCGGGGGGGGGCCCTGGGTTCTCTGCAAGAGCGTGGGCCCCCTGACCCCCACATGGTTTTTGCTGCTGTGTCTGTGGAAGGAGTCTGGGGGAAGGGCCATCTCGACCGGGCCACCACCCAGCCGTGCACCCCGGGGATGGCGGCCGCAGCCCTGTCCTCACAGCCCCTGGGAGGCAGGGAAGGGGCAGGGGCTCCTGCTTCTGTCTTCACCCACTTCTTTGCAGCCTCCTGGCATGGTGTCTGAGGTCGACTCCTGCACAGAACCCCCAAGGGCACATCCGGAACAGCTCATGGGAGCCGAGGGAGCCTGGGAAGCCTGTCCGGGGCTTGGGAGGGACCTTCCCCACATGTTAAGTGTGCCCACACAGCTGCCTCTTCAAGTTCAGCTGCTCCCCGCCTGGCCCATGTTTTCGGCAGGGATTGGATGTGGGCATGGATTTGCCTCCTCAGCGGCGGCTGCAGGTCAGGAAGAACAGGGGGTGGGCTCCTCCGGTTCCTTACAGACTCTTTTCCACTGGGAGGTGGTCCCAGTGCCGTCGCTTGGTTAATTGGGAATCAGAGCGAAGCTCTGCTGGAAGACTTAAGGTGAGCTTGTGAGCTTTGCTGGGAGTCTGGTAGGCAGACGTGGGCAGACAGGGGCCAGTGGGCCAGTGGCCGGTCACTGAGTCTTACTCTGAGCCAGGGTGGCCCGGGGGCAGGGGTGTGAGGTCAGAGCTGTGGTCTGGAAGGCTCTCCACAGTGCTGGCAGAACAGGTGTGGGAGGGGTGTCGAGGTCCCGTCCCGGCTGGACGTGAAGGGTTGGGGCAGGCAGAGACCTAAGGCGCCTGCCGCGGCGCAGAACGGGGGGCCGCTTTGGGACAGAGCTTGTGGGGAAGGAGGTGGTGGGAGGGCGCGGCGGCCGCTGGGGTCTGGACGCGCTGCCTTGGACAGGCAGGCAGTTGGGTGGAGCCGCCTGGCCCTGCTTTTCCATCTCCAGTTCCCTGCGGGCCCCGGGCCCCAGGCCTGCCAGGTAGCACATCGCACCGCCCTCTCCACCTGCTGCCCCACAGGTGTTCCCGAACATCTGGAACCAACCGCCTTATTTTCCTCCATTTCCCACCCTTTCCTCCTCACAGTGAACGTCGCCGGAAACCGGGCTGTTTCTCCTGGTGGTCACCTCGAGTCCCCAGCACGCCTTGGGCCTGCTGTCCCATTAATCCTCCATCCAGAATGCGCGCTTCTCCGTGTCCCCCACACCCCCCCAGCCCAGTGGCCCACAGGCCACCACCATCTCTCCTCTGCCCCCAACAGAAGCCTCCTGTCTGGGCCCTCAATTACCCCTCATGCTCCCAGCACCCTTCCTGCAGCTGCCAGAGCTCACTCCCTTCCCTGCTTCCCTGCCTGCGCAGACAGTCCCCTCGTGACTGACCCTCGGGGCTGCAGTAAAACTGTAACTCACTCCTTACCCCCAGCACCTGGCTTGGCCCAGCTGCCACCTGCCTCCACCCTCCCCCGACCGCGCTGCCCTGGGTGCTCCGGCCCACGGCCCCTTCCCCGCTGACCACAGCCCCTTCCCTGCCCCGAGAGCAGCCCCCCCCCGACTGTGGCCCCTCCTCCCCCCAACCACGCTGTCCCGGGTGCCCTGGCCCACAGCCCCCTCCCCCTGACCCCGGCCCCCTCCCCCCAACCGTGCTGCCCGGTCTGCCCCAGGCCGACAGCCCCCCCCCCCACTCCCCTGGGTGCCCCGGGCCCACAGCCCCCTCCCCCTGACCGCGGCCCCCTACCCCCAACCACGCTGCCCCGTGTGCCCACGGCCCCCTCCCGCCCGACCACACTCCCCTGGGTGCCCCAGGCCCATGGCCCCTCCCCCCTCTCCCTGACCTGCCTGTCTGTGGAGGTTCCTCTCATTTTCAGTTGAGAGGCAGCTGAGGGAAGTCCTTATTTGCCTGGTCTTTGGAACCAGACTGTTGGGTTTCAGCCATCCCAATCCCACCTCTCACTGTGTGACCTTGACATGTTATTTGACCTTCTGGGCCTTGGTTTCCCAGTCTGCAAACTGGGGATACTGATACCTCCCTCATGACTGTGAGGATGGAATGATTGTGTGAACCATTTGCAACAGTGTCTGTGGATAGCAGGAGCTGGGTGAGCACTGGACTGGGCACCTGGCCGAGCTCCCCAACAAGGGTAGGTGTGCAGGAAGTCAGGAGCTGGGCACCTTATCCTTGAGCCTCAGAGACACAGCCAGGTTATTCTTGGTGTTTTAGGCCAGACTGGGTATCTTCCCTGTGGGGCAGAAAGGATTGATCCCCAATATAGGGACATTTACCCCCCACAAAACGTACCTGAGTTGTTTCACCAGCAGGCAGGTAGAGCTGGAAATAGAGATAAAATCTGATAGATGCCTGGGATTGGAATGAAACCTTGGATCATCTGATAGGAATTTCCATGTCTTCTGTTAGGGGTTGTTAATTCAACATTACTGTGAGAGAGAAGGGGTAGGACTGGTGACCAAGAAAGTGTAATTTCCTATGGGAGCGCAACCTTTCCATTATTCTTTATGTCAAAGAAAGCTGTAATTGGCCATCCTTTAATGCATAGAGTAAAACCTGTTAAATTAGGATTTTTCTTTAGATTGCTCCTTAAGCCTTTAAAAAAATAATTTGCCATTTGTGTTCAATGCAAGTCAGTACTGTATTACTTTATATAAATCGAAGCTTAATCACTAAACACAGTGTGCACTCCAGAACATGCAGTGTTTGTTCACACATGCTGTTCTTGCTCTGGGTGTTTCTGGAATGCTCTCTGAGGCTGGCATGTCTTTAGTTCTGAAGGCCCCGCAGCCTGCTCAATAATGGAGTGTCCGTGTGGGACCGTGGAGCAGAGGGGGTGTGTGTGTGTTGATGGTTGGATTAGATTAACTTCCAGAAACGACTTTAGGCTTTGCCCCAGGTACTGTCTAAAAACATTGATAGGAAAGAGTTCAAATGTGGGGTTATAAAGATAAAAACATTAAAAAGTGTGACTATAACTCAGGTGAATGTAGTGTAACTCCAAACCTTGTGTTCAAGATTTAAAAGATATGTATTAAAAGTCACCTTTAAACTGTAGAAATTATTCAACATATACAGAAATAAAGCAGCATTTGAAGATGTGAGGTTATATACTGCTCTTAGGAATTAGGTTAACAGTGGTACTGAGGAGTTCTTGCCTGCGTGGGATGTGGAGGGCAGCAGAGTGCACACGCTGGACGTGGGGATGGTCTGCTGTCATCGTGCTGGCCCCCGTCACTTACTGTCCCCAATTAGATGCAGCCACCAGCTCCCAAGAGAGCTGCTAGCTTCCTAAGAGCTGTGGCCGGCGCCAGGCCTGGCCATTACCCATCACCCACAATACGGAGAAACACTTGGCATACTACCCAGTCATTTTTTGACTTTATGAATTTAATGAATCAAAGTAAAGGCAACATATCTTTTAATTCGCAAGGCAGAGCTGCAGGTACCCAAAGTTCCTGAGCCCCATCTTGAACTCAGTAGGATGTCATCAGCTCCTTTAAGTCTGCTGTGGAATCACAGGAGGTGTGACCTTTGTGTGTCCACACCCTGCAAACCAGTCATGGTGGGATTCTCTCTTTTCTGGATCCATTTCTGCGAGCGAAGTCAAGGAGCGGAGGCCGGTGAGCCCTGGCGCTCTGTGTCCACGCTGGGCAGTGCTGGCCGTGCTGGACCGCCGCCCTCCCCGAGCACCAGCCGCAGGGCGAGCGGGATGAGCAGGGCAAGCAGGGCGAGCGGGCTGGGCTCTGGGCGCGGGGCGCGGGCTGCAGCCTTGAGCTCAATGCCCGGCAGGGGCTGGCCTGCCGACGAGTTGCCGCCCCGGGCCGGGGCCGGGGCCGGGGCCGGGGCCGGGGCGGGGGCGGGGGCCGGGGCCGGGGCCGGGGCCGGGGTGGGCGCGGTGTCCGTGGGCTCCATGCGGGTGTGCGCGGACAGGAGCAGGGTCACCAGCAGCAGGAGGAGCGCGGGCGCGGGCTGGGTCGCCATTCTCGAGCGCTGGGGCCGCGTCTCCTTGCCGGTGCTGGTCGTAGTGGCTGCCGCCCGGCAGATCCACTCCGCGCAGTCCTCTCAGGGTCCTGCCCCGTGAGGTCTGGCCCGCTGCTGGCGGTTAACGGTCGGCTCCCGGGATCCCGCCCCGCGCGCCATCGCGCCCGCGCGCCGCCGAAGGTGCGGAGCGCGCACCGCGCGGGTGCCTGGTGCGCCGGGGCCGCCTCCGCGCGGTGCCTCCTCCGCGCAGCACCCGGTGCGCCGGGCCCCAGGCGGTGCCTCGCCCGGCCGCAGAGCCGCTAAGCAGGGGCTCCGGGCACGCCCCTGGCATGTTACCACCATTCTCCAAATCCCTGGGTTCAGGGGTGTCCGGGGACTTCGGAAACCTTACCTCCTGCAGTACGCACACGGAGCTTTTGTGTTAAAAACCTTGAGATTATGGTATCTTTTTCTTAAATATGCCTGTGATGTAGCTAAAACATTTTTTTGTTAATGCTTCTCCAAAGTTTTACTCATGTACAACATTTACTTCCTGGACTGCAGTTTGAAAGGATAACTTACTTCTCAAGTAAACCAGGGACTCTTTTGATTTTGGAAGTTATGAACTCAGCCATCTTCAGAGATGTAAAATTTTCTCCCCAAGCAGAACTCTTGTGAAAATTTCCAAATTCTATATACTTAATATATAGACATTTGAATTTTTAAATTTTATTTATTTATTTTATTTATCTTTTTAAATAACTCTCCACCCAATGTGGGGCTCGAGCTCATGACCCCAAGATCAAGAGTCACATGCTCGACCAACTGGGCCAGCAGGCGCCCCCAGACCTCTGAGTGTTTGAATGCCCTTGTAAGCCAGAGTCTTTGCTGACTGTTGTACAGGAGGAACCACTGGAAACGCTGTGGGGAGGGTCCTCGCAGCCCGTGTAGGCTTTGCTAGACCTGGCTTATTTATTTCTAAGCACAGACTGAGCATGCATTTTGCTTATTTCTATTCTAAAGAATTGTTAGTATATCTTCCTTACTGGGATTTGGCCTCTACATGCAGTCAACGCAAGGGTTTAAAATAATTTTACGTATTTTTAAATTATAAAAGTATGCATATCTTTGGAAATAAGTGTGTAAGCACTTTAAAATGAAAGGTTTAGGCTTCCTCCCCCATCCCAGTCACTGCAGTAGCCCCTTCCATAAGACCACTTGGTCAGTAGCCAGGGGAAGTCCATTTCCTTAGGACAAATTTGGTGCTGTATCAGAAGTAGGAAGATGGATTCAGGGTGGTTAAAAGCTAGGTTAAACTAGCTTCTTCCATAAGTATATTTTTCAAATGTGTAACTAACTGCATGCTTCATAAAAGAGCATATAAAAAATAAAAAGCAAGGGCCCCTTTCTAGGGCCCAGCAGGACGTGCCCAAGGTGGGCCTGGAGCACCAGGTCGAGCCAGAAAGGAGGTGCTCAAAAGCAAAGCAAACCCCCACCCTGATGGGCATCAGAGGGACACAGAAGCCACCTGAAGGGGCTCCTGGTGGCCAGAGCTGGACCAGTCCCAGCAACAGAGTGAAGTCCTGTTGGATCATAGCCCACAGTATAAAATAAATATCCACGAGTCCATACGGACATCCATAAATGATTCACTCACGCGCTGATACGGAAACGGTATTTATCTCCTCCTCCGAAGGAGAATCCCGCAGTGCCTGCTCAGCCGCTCCGTCCTCGGGGAGCGGAGCGCACCTCCCACTCCTTAGGTGTGGGCTAGGCGTGGCGACTCCCTTCCCCGGGGGACAGGGCAGGAAAGGGAAGGAGCCACGTGGGGTGGGGACACCGGAGAGACACACCTCTGCCAGGTGACCACGGCCAACATGAGCAGTGGGACAAGTCATGTTGACGGTAGGCACCTGGGCCGGATGGGTTGAGAGGGACACTTCCCTGTGTGGTCTTCCCCCCGACAAACCCTGACCCCAGTCCACTCATGAGAAACCACATCATGCTAATCCCAACGAGGGGCATCCCCCCAAACGCCTGACTGGTCCTCCTCCCAATGAGGGGCATCCCCCAAACACCTGACTGATCCTCCTCCCAATGAGGGGCATTCCCCAAATGCCTGACTGGTCTTCCTCCCAACAAAGGGCATCCCCCCCAAACACCTGACTGGTCCTCCTCCCAACGAGGGACATCCCCCCCAAATGCCTGACTGGTCCTCCTCCCAACGAGGGGCATCCCCCAAATGCCTGACTGGTCCTCCTCCCAACGAGGGGCATCCCCCAAAGGCCTGACTGGTCCTCCTCCCAATGAAGGGCAGCCCCCCCAAATGCCTGACTGGTCCTCCTCCCAACGAGGGGCATCCCCCAAACGCCTGACTCGTCCTCCCAACAAAGGGCATCCCCCCAAACGCCTGACTGATCCTCCTCCCAACGGTCAGGGTCATCAGAGAAACTGTCTTGGCCAAGAGGAGATGTAAAGGGACATGATCAGTGTCACGCAGTGTCCTGGACGGGATCCTGGGACAGAAGGGGGACGTTAGGGGAAACTGAGGAAATCTGAACGCTTAGTTAATAACATGTTAATATCGGTTTGCTAATTGTAACAAATGTACCATACTGATGTGAAATGCTTATAAAGGGGAAACTCAGTGTGAGTATGTGGGAAACCTTTTTACTGTCATCTCACTTTTTTTTTTTAAATCTAAAATGGTTTTAAAAAATAAAGTCTATTTTTAAAAAATGTGTTTTAAAAAGCTAATAATTCCTTAGAAGCTCCTTTTGTGTTCTCATCCTCTGCCCTAAGTATCATTGACTTTTTTAAATTTTTTTTTAATTTTTGTTTTTTTTTAAAGATTTTATTTATTTATTTGAGAGAGAGAATGAGACAGAGAGAGAGAGCATGGGAGGGGGGAGGATCAGAGGGAGAAGCAGACTCCCTGCTGAGCAGGGAGTCCGATGCGGGACTCGATCCCGGGACTCCCAGGATCATGACCTGAGCCGAAGGTAGTCGCTTAACCAACTGAGCCACCCAGGCGCCCAGTATCATTGACTTTTGTGTTAATTGTTTCCTTGGTTTTCTTTGTAGGTTTATCACTTTTGTTATTCTCAACAGCATATCCTTTGGTTTTGCCAGCATGTACTCCACTCAGCAGGAAAGGGTCATATTGCCAGGGAGGCCCCTGGGCGAGGCTGGGGTCATAGTGATGTGCATGTCCAGGGACTTCACTTGCAGAGGTCCCTCCTGGCCAGAGTCTTCACACGTTTTACATCTCTCAGGAGTGAGATCTTTTAACTTGAGTCACCAGGACTGCTGCCTCCTTGTCCACCCGCTTCTCTCTTGCACATCCCCTGTCCCAGGAGACCTTGGACGGCCTCAGGCTTCTTTGTGAGCTGGCTGAGAGGAAGTCACATTGGGTTGCATTTAGTTTGGGTTTAACAGGATACATATATGTGGGTGTGGTCACAGTCTTCTGGGAAGACTTAGGTGCTGCCTGGGTGTGGTAAGCTTGGGTTCTGTAGTCGTCCCATGCAGTGGGGGGCATAAAGGAGCAGGGCCAGAGGAGAGGGGCCGTTGCCCACTGCATCTGTTTACCTTGGGATCTCTGGGGGAGAGTTAGACTCCAGAAAGAAGAGGGAAGATAGGGCAGGGGCCGGCCCCGACTGCTGCTGGGAGACGGGAGTAGGGGTGGGAGGATGGGCCAGGAATGGAGGTGTTCTCAGGGAGGGGGTTCTCAAAGAGCTTTGAGATGAAACTCCTGTCCAGCTGGCTAGCAGCCAGCTCCAGCAAAGTTGAGATGGTCTGTTTGGCCCAGGTGGACAGACACAGTGTTGCAGGGGACACTAAAAGGGTCTTGAAGCAGAGGAAGTATCAGGAGTGGCAAGTGGGGGTTTTGGGAGCAGGGCCCCTGCCTTGCAGTGGTGGGCAGCCCATGGGGTTGGAAGTGCCACCTGCTGTCCTGGTGAGCTCCCAACAGCCAGCCTGGGGGTCCTGGCTCAGCACGCTGCTCCATACCCGTCCTGCAAGTCTTCTTGAGGTGACGGCTGGCCGCAAGGGGCCGTGGTGTTTATGACGTTAATGCAAAGTTGGCATTTTTCCTTGGGGGAAATATTCCTGGATGAAGTCCGAACCTGCTGAGTGCTGGGTTGGATAACAGGGTTAGCGTGGAAACCAAGAGAGGTGAAAACCAAGAGAGGTGATGCGGGGTGCTGGGTTCACTTCTGAAGTGATTTTCTGTTATGTGTTAGATGCATCTTTGATCCTTTGGTTTTTTGATATTTGACTTTGTCACTGTGGTTTTTTAGAGAAGATCTGGTTTCTTTTGGGCTTTTAAGTATGATAGAAGAGATAGATGGCGTGATTTCCCCATTTTCTTCAGATGCCCCCTTGAAGTCTCAGTGGTTCTCCGGTCACAATTAACTGAACGTATTTTGAATGAGACAACCCCTAAGAGTTAGGCGTCAGGAAATGTGGGGTTGTTCTGAACACGCACATAAAAGCATGCTAACAGTGTGTTGTTCCTGTGCTTGCTCATAGACTGACTTCGCACGAGTATGCACACGTGGGCTGTAAGCATGTTTCAAGAACTGGGCTTCGAGCAAGCATAGGGCGCCCTGGGAAGGCGCGGGACCTGAAATCCCGGCTCGCCTGTCTGCCGAGTGCCAAGAAACCCACCACGTCCAGGCCTTTGAACTTGTGGGGTGAGTTTTCTCTCTACGGCAAGCCCGTATCTAGGAATTCTGGCTGAGATCAGCCTCTTTGATGTTTGGTCTGGTTTGCTCGTGATCCTGTGTCTTTGTTCTGTGAAACAACTGTGGACAAAGATCAACAATCTGGCATGGAAATTCTTTTGTGAGAAAAGAGCTACCTTGCTGTCATTTCATGTTGATGACGTTGTTCTTAGATTCTCAAGTGTTATCAATAGGATTTCAAGCTTTCAGAGCTGTTTGCTTTTGTTTCTTTTCCACGGTGGCACGGACTCCTTTGTCTTTATTGCAGTTGTTTCCTGTGACGGAGATCTTACTACATTCCTTGGTTTTCAGTAGGTCCCTTTCTTCATTTGCCTAGGATGCCTGCTGCTTTTAAAGCCCTTTTATGATATTTAACCAGGCTCTCTGTGTGCAGTGTGGGTTGTGGTCATGTTCATTGTTGCAGCCTCGACTAATAGAAATAGAGTCTGTCAGTAACTAATCATTCTACATGCGTTCATTACTGTTGCTCCCAAACCATCCTAACCGTGTGGGCCAGAGACCAGTGTGCGTAGATGTGCATACCATGATACCTGGATTGAGTTTCCCAGATGTGAGTCTCCACGGTAAAGCCAGGGAGAGCCGGGGGAAGCCACAGGCCTTGGGTGTGTTTGCTGTCCCCCTTTTCTCTTAGTCTCCTAAAAGTGAGTTAGGAATTAGTCAAAACAACAAATTAATAAAAAATGAATTTTCCCAGCAACGTAAGAAAAGTTTAGCGTGCTTTACTTATACAAAGCCTGTTTAGTGCTGTCTGAAGTCGGTTAGGGTCCTTCTGGCAGAAGGTACTCCAAGCCAGGGAGGAGCAGGATGGAAGGCATCCCTTGCAAGTGAGAGGACGTGGCTGAAGATGCAGTAGATACGATACATGATTGTTGGAATACTGAAGTAATGAAATAGGAGTTGGATATGTATTTCCTATTTATTTCAAGTTTTAATAAAAAAGTAACATTTAGAAATCCAAAAATCTCTTTTTCAGGACCCACAAGTGTCAGTCATTCAGTTTGTTTTAGATGGAAGTTCTGTTTTTCTCTATGCAAATGTTTTATCCAAGGTTAAAAATGAGCCAGAAGGGTGAAGAAGATGTATTTGAAGATGAAGCCGACAGAGTAAATTCGGGGGCTAATCTGTCCTCTTCACAGCAGGTGCATGGGCCCCAGGGGAGGGAGATGCAGAAGTTGCACAAAACACAGATGTGCAGTTTCATTAAAGATTATAAGGGGGATCCTAATGTTCTTACCAGCCAGGTTGAGGACAGGACAAGAGAAAACATAGGCATAAGATTTGGAATAGAATAGGTAAAATGATGTTTGCAGGATCCTCAGGGAGCCCCTTTTATGGTGGTATGCTGGCCCATACAGTAGCCACCGTGGGGGAGGGCACAGCCTCAGAATCCAAAAAACCCACATCATAAAAATTCGCCAAGGCAGAAATAAACATGTAACATACAAACATCCTTGTAACTTAGTATTCACAGAGGATACTGTAGAGGAGGTGGCCCGTTCGGAGTAGCGACAAAAATGATCCCATAGTCAGGAATGAATGTGGTAAGAAAGGTTCAAAACCTAAGTGAAGACCATTCTAAAAACTCTTGAGACGACACAGAAGTAGCCTCGAGCAGATGGAAGGGCATGCCCTATTCGTGGTTAGGGTGTCACAGCATCATTACGATGGCACTTCTCCGCGGGGCTAATGTGCAGAGTTCATGTGATTCCAATAAAAATATGAATGCAACAAGAGTTATTAGTTTCCCTCGGGCTGGACATATCGATTCTAAAACGGACACAGAAAAACAAGCACGTATGGAGACCTAGAAACTCAGAAGAGAAGGGGCTGAGAAAAGGTGCATAGCCTACCAGACATTAAAATGCACCGGAGAGCCTCTCCGTGTGAGATCGCGTGGTCATGACGTGACCAGTGCCGTAGGGGGCTCAGAAAGAAGCCCAAATCCGGACGGACGTGTCGTCTGTGATTAGGGTGGTATCTCAGATTGCCGGGTCATGAGGGACTTCTGAAGAAGTGATCTGGGGACAGTTGAGCACCATTGTGTGAAAGACATTGGATTTCTGCCTTACACCATGTGCAAGAATAAGCTCCAAATGGATCAGAGAGCTAAATGTGGAAGGTGAAACTATTCAAGTGTGAGACAGAAACACACTGAATATAACCTAAGTGTTGGGCAAGGCTTGTCAAAGTAGAGCTCAAAACTCAGGTTCAACAGAAGAAAAGATGGTCGAAATGGACTCCGTTAAAAAAATCCCGCCAACCGTGGAAACCTGCCTGAGTGAAACAAAACAACAAAATGTGAGTAAAGTTGGAAGACAGAAGGATCAACTTTTTCAAAGAGAAAAATCTTTGCAACATATATCATAAATATTTAAAAACCGTGGAGAAGAAAAAGCCCAAAATCCTGTAGGAAAATAGGGGAAGGCAGGTGTGCGTCACCCTGCTCACACTCACACGCAGCGACGGCGCCCCAGCGTCACGGGGTGCTGGCTTTGCTTGTCACCTCGGCGGAAGTAAGCTGTCAGCAGTGTCCATACGTCACCGGCGTGGTGAGGCAGACGAAGCAGTTCCGCAGAGCCTGGAAGCTTCGGGTGGTTCGTTTCTGAGCTTGCTCTCGGGCGGTATACTTTGAAATGGGCTTGAGAGCAATGCGGCAAGTCTGTCTCTAGGCTGTGGCTACTAAGCACATCGAGTCGGTGGGTTTTCGGGAACCTGCCGGACGCCCTTTGAGCTCCGTCTCTGGGTCCTGTGGTTACTCTGGGCTGTTTTCCTTTCCTCCAAGCCCACGCCTCATCCCCACACTTAGGGATTGTTCGGTGTGCGGGTATCTGCTTGGCTGCCATTTTCTTGGGGTGTGTCTGTGTGCAGACCCAGTTTGGCTGGAAGGGGTCTGAGACAGAGGGGAGTGCCCAGGGAGGGGGCGGCGCCTCGTCTGCGGGCTGTGTGGCTGTGGACCCCTGTGCCTGCAGAGCCGGGTGACTCGGTGGAGCCCACCCTTCGGTGGCCGGACGAGCTCTGTGCTCACGGCGCTGAGAATGTTGGCGTCATGAGGCTCGAGTCTGTGTTGGGGATCTGAGCTGAAGAAGTCAGAGGGAGAAGAGGAAAGACATGCAGAGGAGGGCTTGGAGACCAGCAGAGCTTCCCGAAGCGCAGAACCTCTGCTCTGGGCTGTGCTGGGCACCTTCTGTTCCTGAACCACAGGCCTGGCCCTCCCACCACCGTGTCACAACAAACACCCTCTGTTGACAGGAGACTGCATTCTCTGCCCCTGGGATTTTGTTAAAGGCTGAATTGTTGTTTTGATTGAAGACCTAATTGTGTAGTTCCCAGTGTGGGTCTAAGACCACACGGTCTTTCCTCTGCTCGGTGCCTTCAGGGGTGATGACGCAGACCGAGCGTCAGTTCTGCTTCTGGTCCTCGTGTACCCGGCGGGGCAGGAGCGGTGGGTCCCAGGCCAAGGCCCTTCTGGGCCAGGACGTGCTCACTCACTCCATGGTGGGGGGACAGGAGGCCCATGGCAGCCCCGCTGGCTGCTAGGGGGGCTCCCGAGGCTCTGGTTCTCAACTGGGGTGGGGAACAGCTTCGCCTCAGGCAGGTCTCAGCCATGGGGCAGCAGCCACCCTGCGTAATGAGACTGCGCCAGGTGCAGGCGCGGTCAGGGAGAGGGCGACGGGGCCGCCCCGTGGTGTGGAGCTTGATGCTCCACTGGCCCCTTCCACATAGCCCGCTCTGGGGTTGCTCACTCTGACTACCAGGATCCCCTGCCATCCCCTTCCCTGATTGCCACGAGCCCCCTTCTCTGCTGACCACGTCCTGTTTTGGAGGATGTATTTGTGCATGGGAGAAAGGCATTTCTTTCTGTATTACATCTGAACTAATTTAGGTGCATTAGGGGCCTGGCTGGAGAGAACGTGCCTCTCCATCCTCCACTGTGGCTCTTGTGTACAAGAAAGCATTTCAGAGAAGAGTCTACACCTGAGCTCTTGCTCTGCCCGTTTCATACTAGCCTCTTGCCACGGGCGGCCCCCCGTGATGGCTGTGGTACCCTGAGCCTCGCCTCAGTCTGGTGGTGTGTGGGGCCCACCTTCTCGCCCCCTCGAGCCTGTCTTGGGCGTGTTCTTCTGTTACAAATTGCATGCTTGTCACAGAACATTCAGACAAAAGAGACAAGAAAAAGTGATGAGAGCAGCCGTCTCCTCACGGGGATGGCCTCCGTGACTACGCTGGGGGGTGTCTTCCCGCGTGTACGCACGTGCACTCATGCACAAAGGCACCACTGGGTACGGGGGTCACCCTGGGCGCTTGCTTGTTCTCTGCAGCCCCAGGGAGCGAGCCCTGCCGACCCCTCGCGAAGAGGTGGGGAACCGAGGCCACAGACGAAGCTGCTGCCCAAGATGCGCAGCTGTCGTGGCGCTGGCGCCTGGTCAGTCCCCGGGGCTCTGGAGTTCCCGTGGGAGCCACTAGTCTGCCCAGCTGCCTCCCGTGAGCGTGGGCAGGGCTGTGCGCGCGCGTGGCGTGCATGCTGCCGCCCTCACCTGTGAGCGGCTTCCCGTCTGGGGAGCTGTTTCAGGGGCCCCCCTCTGGACGCGGTGTTGTCACGGTGCGGGCCATCGCGCCGTCCACGGCGCTCTCCCTCCGCTCCTGGCCGTGGGCGCCCTCCGGGCACGTCCCTGACAGTCCGTGAAGGGTGAGCGCGTGACCACAGTGTTTTCAACCCCGTCGTGCACCTTTTGAGTGTTTCCAGGTTTGCTATTGTTTCCGCTGCACGTGATAGAAAAGCCAACACAAACTAGTTTTAAGTAAAAATACTGTGTTTACTCCTGAAACTTTGCTTTGGATTTCCACAGTAGATCATTGCAGGGATGAGCTTGTCAATATGTGGTTTTCAGCTCTACTGTGAGGAGTTTTTCTCTCTTTTCTGTTCTGTCTTTATTAGGGTATTTGGGGAA